TTTTTTTTTTATTTTTTTCGGTCCCTTTGTTTAAAAAAAAATCCTTTTTTTTTTGTTTCTTCCTTTATTAAAAAAATTTTTTTTTTAACTCCCGTTTCTTTTTTATTTTTTCTCTAACAAATAAAAAAAAAGAAACAATGAAAATGAAAAAAGACTCACCCGTGGGAACTGATCAAAACGGAAACTATATGCAGATTACCAAGGTACTACTGTATTTCGGGGATCATTCGAGGATTTTTTTGGCCCGCTGATGAAATGCACCATTTTAAGACCTCTATATGGTAGGCCGTATCATGGAGGCAGGGTATGCACATAGCGAAAGTGCCGTGCTCCTATGTAATACTTGGGATCTTGTGGTATTGGAAGGTAGTGGTGATGTATCATTGGGTCATAGGCAGTTGGGTGCTAATGGCTGACGACCTAAGGGACACTCTAATGAGGTAGACCCCGCCGGATGAGCTCAACCCACTTATTGCATCTTTTGATTCTTAAGATTGAAAATCTTGGTGACCCAAGTGTTCTGAGGCCAATTTTTATTTTAAAAAAAATTGCTTGATTTCTATAAATGCAGTACTTACTTTAATTTATGCATCTTTTTTAGAATTATAAAGAAAAAAAGGACCATTTATATGTTGCATGTTCAACAAGAAAAAATTTAAAAATTCTTATTATTAAACAATTAGGAGAATGCAAATTTAATCAATTATATTTATAATGTTTATCTGAAATTTTTCAATAAAAATTTTTTATTATAATTTAATAATATATTTAAACATTAACTGTTAACGTAGTTAACAGGTGAATCCTAGTTTAATATTATAATTACTAATTTTTTAAGATTAATATTTTTTATAATTTTAATTAATTTTTTATTATTATTATAGAAAATATGTTGTATTTTTTTTTTGCTTTAAAAAAGTTGGTATATAGAAAATAATTTTTAAATAAACAAAAATATTTTTCTGTAATAATTTATAATTTTAATAAATTACTGCTTTTTTATATAATTTTGATAAAAATCTGTATAAAGCTATATATAAAATTATTAGTTTCTTATTAGTAGCCAGATCATATATAAATATACTTTTTTTATTTTTTTTATTAGTTACAAAATACTGGTTGGATTCAAAAAATTTTAAAAAATAACATTTTTTTTAATTATTTAATTATATACTAATTGATCTTAAATTTTTTATACAAATTACTGGATAAAAAAAAATTATTAAAATAATAAATTTTTTTCTTAGATTACTGGATATTAAAGTTAAAAAATAATAATTTTTTTTTCAGATTATTAGATAGGAAAAAATTTATATTTTTTTAACTAATTATATTTTAGAAATCATTCAATTTTTTTTAAAAATAAATTATTTTTCCAAATAGTCATATTACTTTTTATTATTTATTATATTCATAAAAAATGAATTATTTTATTTATATAGTCTAGTAGAATCCTAAAATATACATAAAAAAGTCAAATCTGAGTTTGCGTACAACCAGCCAAAAAAAACATGAAAATCTTTTCTTTTTTAGATAATTTCCAGTGAAAAGATATTTCCTTTTTTGGTCACTTGCCAAAATTATCATAATTCTGGCTTTGAAAGAATACGTACAGCTATTAGTAAAAATTTTTTGGCTGTCTCTGACCTTTCTATATATATTTTGGGATCCTAGTCTAGTACAGTTAATATTGCAAATTTTATATTTTTTTAATGATTTTTTATATAAAAATTTGTAATAATTTTAATAATTTTTAATTTTAAAAATTATTAAATATTTTTTACATAAAATTTTTAATATTTTTTTTTTTTTTTTAGTTGCAGCATATTTAGATCTTTATTAAAATATATACATGTATTTATAATATATTATATAAATAAAAATAAACCAAATAAACTAATTTAATAAAATCCAAACCACTTATCATTCTAAAAAGGATCTCACAATCTACATGTATACTGTCAGGTAGAATTTAGGCTATGAAAGTACTTTCTATGTAAAGTGCATACTTATTTTTAGAGAGCATTCCTTCCTTTTAGTCTACATCTATAAAGAAATTCTAGCAAGATTCATTATAACATAATAAGAAAAAAAAAAGGATTTTAAATAAAAAAAAATAGGGTAAAAAAAAGTGCTAATATATAGAATAATAGTGAATACACCCAATTTCTAATTTCCTTATTTGGCTTAATCTTTTTGTCAGTTGGCCAGTGATCTTAATAACACCTAAATTTTATTAGCCAAAATAGTAAATTTGTTATTATTGTTGAAGCCTTTATTATTTGAAGTAGATTGCTTCTTTTTTTCCAAAAAACTTTTCCTTTTTAAGCTGTCTATTATTATTTTGATTGTATATAATATTTGAAATCTTCTCTTACACAGGTCGAAAAGTGAAAAATCAGACACCAATCGGTGTCTGATTGGCATTTTTGCCAAATACCATTACCAATCAGGCAGTTTGCTAACTTTTGATCCAGTGATCAGAAAAAGATGAAATATAGCTCATTGGAATTATTTCAACAAGATGAATCTAATGGTAGTAAAATCGCATCTCTAGGATTAATAGCTAATAAAAAATTAAATAAAATATAAATGATACATTTTTATTTTTATATTTTACTTAATTTCTCATCATATATTAATTCTAGAAATGCGATTTTACTACCATTAGATCTGTCATATTAAGACAATTCCAATGAGCTATATTTCATCCTTTTCTGATCACTAGATCAAAAGTTAGCAAACTGCCTGATTGGTGACGGTATTTGGCAAAAATGCCAATCAGGCACCAATCGGTTAACAATCAGTCACCAATCAGCTACCTGATTGGTGCCTGATTGGTGCCTGATTGGTGACCGATTGGTGCCTGATTTTTCACTTTCGACCTGTGTTCGTTAAATTTTTTTTATTAGAATATTAATTAACATTCCATTTTTTTAATATTTTTTTGCGAAATATTTCATTTGATTTTTTACATTTTCAATCAGAATGTCAGTTAACATTTTGATTTTTTAATTTTTTTTACAAACTGTTATTTTAAAGAAAATGTTTTCTAATGTTTTTTTTATACTTTTATATAGGAAATCGGTTCCAGTGTAGATACCATTTTCCAGGTAAAGTTTCAAAAGATTTTCAAAAATTTCTTTAAAAAAAAACGTTTTATATTAAAAAATGGTTTTTTTATTATATTTTTTATGTAGGAAATCAGTTCTGGCATGTCCAGATAAAGTTTTGAAAAAATTTTTCAAAACTTTCTTTAATAAAACATTTTAATAAAACATTTTTTTATTTTTGTATAGAAAATCAGCTCCAGCATGAACGCCAATATTCCAGTTAAATTTTGAAACTAAAGTTTCAAAACTTTTTTAAAAAACGTTTTTTTTTATTTTTTTTATAATAATTTTTTAATATACACTATTGTGCGAAATACGTATCACGTGACTATAATTTGTTACTCATATCACACCCCTATAGTTTTCCATTTGTACTATTTATTCTAAGGACTTAGAATTTTTTCGGTAAGAAAAATCTTATTTGTCACATATTATATGTCACACATCATAATTTTGGCCAAATTTTATAATTCCAATAATTCCAGCCAAAAATTACTATAATTTCCAATTTTGGAAATTAGAGTAATATTACACAATCCAAAAAAGGAAATTTTATTTCTTAGTAAAAATGAAATTACAGATGGTGCCCAAAATTATCCGGCCACTTTTACAATTTGAAAAACTTATATATGGGAACACGCACAGCAAAACAAGGGGATAGGATCTGAAAATTTTTTTTTGAGATTTCATTACAACTGTAATTTTTGGATAAATTGGAGCATAATTATCATATAAACTTAAGAAATTTTTTTTTGAGACTATCCCCTTGTTTTGCTGTGCTTATCCCCATATGTTAAATATGATGAAAATAAAAATTTAAGTTTAACATATTTATTATACCTTCCTTTATTGAATTTTACAAAAATTTAATAATTGATTCTATTTCCATTTGCGGAAATAACTGCATCAACCCTCCGAGGCATACTTTTGATCAGTTTTCTATAATATTCAGGAGGAATGTCGTTCCACGCATCTGTAACATAC